CACAGCACAGCCCCAGGACAGAGGTGTCTGTCCATATGCTGTTCCTGGGCTAGCTGGGAAAAACATATTCAATAGTTTATTACTCAGTATGTTATTTGATCACAGTTGTGATACATCTCACCAAGAAGAGAACCAGGAGCTGGTTTCGCTGTGGGGGTCAGGGAAGTCTGAGATGAGGAAAGGCATTGATATGAGCTTTGGAGAGTGAATGGACATGGGCCAGGTGATAGGCGGGGAGGCTGGGAGACACTGTAGGCTGAGGCAAAGGTGGCGAAAGAAGTGAGAATGGCAAAGGGGATGGGAGTTATGTAACCACAAAAGGGAAGCCAGTGATCTGGAGGGCAGGAAAGGAGGAGGGGAGAGGTCGATCAGAAATTGGAGCACTAATCAGCAGTCAGATCAGACTGGGCCTGGCCTGCTGGCTCATTCAAGAGAGTGTTGTTGTTCCCAAGAGAAAGTTATTAAACCCAGATCTCTGTGACCACACAGTATTCTCTGGGGCATTGTGAATGCTTCCGGATGAGGGCGGATTTTCAGTTCCCGCAGGCTTCACCACATTCGGTCTATCCCCTCTGGGGTCAGCACCAGGGGATCGGTCTCCCCTGCCTGAGTCATAAGTTTCAGTCCTGCTAGACAATGCAGGCATCTAAATTTGCAGCCCTGGACCATATGACTTGAACGGCTTTCCCAACACTCCTTCTAACACAGCTCCATGGAGGAGACAAAGACAGAAAATACACAGCCTGGCTTTTAAGAAGGTTGAAATTTAATAGGACAGAAGGCATTTCACTAAGAACTTCCTAGGAGGTAATAGATAAATGGTAAGAATCATATGACTATCGCTGCCCTTCTGTTATAGTCCCTATGTCTGTGCTGGACACCCAGGGGCCCCTTAATAGACTGTTGTTGGGTGAGTGATTCACAAGCCAGTGAATGACCCCTTGGGATCAGCCAAGACAGGAAAGTCAAGAGACACTGTAATTACCTGGCAATATCTCCAAATGCCTTCAACATGGGCTTGTTCACGTACTGCAGTCCGTGCTTGGCACACAGTGACCTCACCAAAGGCGCCACCCTGTGATAATTATGGCGTGGCATTGTGGGGAACAGACTAGGGAAACAGATGGGAGACAGCAAACTCAGACCTGGAGAGAAATCCCAGTTTTCTTTGTCTTAAATAAAATTATATCAGCCATGCAGACCCAACCTTGACCTTGCACAGTTACTTGAAGTTCAAAAACTTGCCAAGATACTCTTGTCTTTTAACCCTCCATAAGTCCTGGGGGCGGAGGGTGGAGGGACAGGAGCAGATGTTTGGAAAGAGCTAAGGGAACACATGTGAAGTCCATCCAGTGTGTATTTTGGTCCCGGTCCAACAAAAGTATGGGGTTTTCTATCATTTCTCATTACCCAGAGAGCTTGAGATATCCACCTCTCTCCGCCTGGTTCAAGTGGACTGGGAACATACGATATTCCAAATAGTCATTTTAGGGTAGAGATAGATTTTCTATTCAAGGTTTTCACTAATGAGCCAGATGACTTTCTTACTCCCTGATAAAATATGAAAAATAGTTACCTCTTGTTTTGCTGAGATTTTAAAGGACTAACATGAGAGAAAGAATAAGAAAAATCCCATAAATAAGTGTAAGATCACTTTCTTTCTCTGACAATCATGAATATGCGGTTTTCAAAGAGGATGTGGAAAGTCCCTCCCCTGTATAATCTGGAAAGATTGACTCAAACTATTAAATCACTTTTTTCTTTTTTAGGGCAAGTCCACCTAATTTATTGGTGAAGTATTTCTAAATACTATTTGGAAATTGCACCAAGGACTAGATTTTACTGTTGATTTTCTTGCAGATAGAATAAAAATATAGATATTTGCATTAAATTATAATTAAGTCTCAACATAGCTTGGTTACCCACGTGGCATTCTTTTTCTTGGGCTTTGCTAACACATAAAATATACAGGAACAATCACCAATTCTTAGGAATCTGGAAACTGAGTCACTGGCACTTTTCCAAGATCCTATTCCTTTTACTCACAATTATCTCCTTCTTTTTATTCTTCCCTTCCTTATCATTGATGTTAATACGAAGAGAGTCTTTAGACACTTCTGGTTCATTTTTGCCCTCTAAGATCCTAGAGCCTAGGGCTCTGCTCTGGACTGTCTGGGGGAGGAGGTCATTATAATTCATGACAGACCTTGCCCATCACCACTACTATCAATGTTTCTGTCACTCACTGATGCTCTATTTGGAAGTTCAGGTGTCCCGTGAACCAGTCGTTGAAAAAGGACTGTTCAACATTGCAAGTGCCCAAGACCTGCAAGAAAAGCTTATTATAGTTGATGAAAATGAGTTCAAGTTTCAAACAAAGAAAATGTTTACATAGTCTTCTATTCAGTTAATTACTCAACAGGTACTGATCGAGAGCCTATTTTGTGTAAGAAACTGAGGAATATAAGGAGCATGCGGTCCCAGGTCTCATATATTTTGCTAGGTAGTATCGGAAGCAATAGAATGAAAGAGCATTTGAGGGGACTAAGTCACGATCAGCCCTTGGCCACAGAAGTCTAAGGTGTGCTAAGTGAAGACTATGGAAGATGGATGTGGGATTGTAGGATTTGGGTAGAGATTGCAGGTGTTGAGTTGAGATGGTAGGACTGTGCTAAATGAGGAGGAATATTCAATGCCTTTCTATGGTCTAATTCTAGTTGGGGTTGTTGGCATTTTGACTGTCATTCTGTGGTCGTGCTATGTCATTGTGTCTCAAAGTGTACTTCAGAGAAACTTGAGGTCGCCTAGGGCTCTTTCAGGGCACCCGAAAGGGACAAAGCTATTCCCTTTCGACAGCTTCTCAATGCTGCTGTTGCAACATGAAAGTGGTATCAATACAATGCAAATGAGTGAGCAGACTGTGCTCCAAAAAGAACTTTATTTAAAACACATGCCAAATTTGTCCCTTGGTCTGTAATCTACTGATCTTTGGCTTAGTGCAAAGGTTCTGAAATCAAACTGCCTAAGTTGAAAACCTGTTTCTACCACTTAATATTTGTGTGACTTTATGCAAGTTACTCAACTTCTTTTGGCCCTGTTTTAACATCTGTAAAAAAGCAATAATTATAGCACCTGCCTCATTTAGTTGCATGCAAAGCAGTTGACAGTGCTTTCCCCTGGCAAACTTTTGATGAGTATGATTATATGAGATAAACAGACTGCAGGTTAAGGATTTTCTCCAGGATCGCCTTTGTTACCTGAGTGCTGAGCCAGTCCAGGTTCTGCTCTCTGCTCATTTTCATTGGTATGTGACTCATCTGGGTAACATATGCAATCCAGGGACTTTCAAGAACCCTTTTGAAGAATGAAAAGAGGAAGTAGTGACTTCTTTGGTATTTCAGTTCCAGTCACTGGACTTGGCATAAATCCTGGCAGAGCTGACTGAGCATTAGAGGAAATGGGAGGGGGATTCAAAGGTTTCAATAAAATGGGGGCCATTTGTCTTCATCTTTGGCGACCCTTTATACCTAGAGATGACATTCTGAGCTTTAATTCACATGATCCATCTTTCTGCCTAATGTGTGGGAGCAGTGCCCCCAAAGTCTACAATTACATTAGTGCAAGCATCAAAAGACACCTGGGAACTTAAGGTCATATGCAAAGTGATTACTGGCTTGGGTTCTGTCATCAGACATAGTTGGGTTCAAGTTCTGATTTGCACTGCCACTGGTCCTTGCTTGCTCTATAAACTAGGGCAAGTGATCTCATCTTTCTGAGCTTCAACTCCCTTAGAAGAAAAATGAAGATATTATTTATATCACAAAGGTTGAGTGAGGCTAATCAAATAAGATAATGCATACAAAGTCTTCAGCAAAGTGAATGATACATAAGGTCACTATCATTATCCTTAGTGTATGAAGGATTTAGAATAATCAGGCAAAAGAGTGAGGGAGGAATAAATTAGGAAGCTGAAGAGGGCTATTCAGTTGGAAGCCATTTTGGTTTTGAGACAATCTCTAGTCATAAAATAGCTTTAAAAAGTTCCTTTCCTTGCATTATATTTGGCAAGGATTATGAAGTCCAGCTGGATTGCAGTTTGAAAGGGTTCAGGGATTGGATGAAACACTGCAATTAGAAATTAAGCAAGTGAGGAAAAAAACAGGGAAGACTGAGCAAATATTTTGAAAGAACTCTTTCTACTCTACTATTTCAATTTTTTTTCATGTTTTCTTGGAAATGTCTCACTTACAGAGAATGGGACATGATATCCTGATCTGAAAATCACAAATAACTTAGATAAGGGAAGTAAGAAGAATTTATGGGAATAAGAGAATATTCTTGCTTTCTTACTTGACCAAAAATATGAGCACAATAGTTCCAAAGATTCCATAGAAAGGGCCATATGTGATGAAATGGCGGATGTAAAAACTGCTGACCCAAGCAATGTCCTGCAGAGAGAAGTTTTCAGAAGTTAGATGCCCTGAACAAAATTTCATTTTCCCTTCATTGTGGGTGGGGGGGCTGTAATTCCAGGGAGGTACATCTGGAAGGGACCACATATTTGCATTTCACATTTTTGACCTGCCCTAGTGTTAGAGTCAGGTACTTACTGCCCAATACCGTCGGAGGTACATCTCTTGCATGGATTGTAGGTTGAAATATATAGGCATGAGGAGGGGAAGTCCAACTAAACAATAAAAGAAAGATGGTGAATAAACAAGCAGAATGAGACTACCCTGCTAACAGTCTAGCTCCTTGACATGCTCCCTGAAATGCTGTCCCTGAGTGGGGATGCAGGGATGCAAATCCAGTCCAGAACCACATCCTGGACTAGAGAATTTTTAAATCTCTGAGACTGAATTGGAATTTGGTTCAAGCGCCCTCAAGGAGTCTTCGGAAGCTTTGACGATTCGAGTCACTCTTGATGGTGGTATCTCAAAGAGGTTGCTATAAGCGTTCACATATTGGTCCACGGAATCCTTCAGTCCTTACAAACCTTAGGAGTGGGTCCTGTTCCAATAGGGTGAGGTAGCAGAAATAAAGTAGGGGTATGTGTTTCCTGGTCAGAGAATTATGTGTTTCTCCCCCAGACCAAGGAGTCTGCCTAGAGCACATTTGAGTCTTAGGGAAACTTTTGTTTTATTTTTTAAGTTAATTTTTAAATTGAAGTTACATTGGTTTATAATAGTCTACAGGTTCAGGTGTACAGTGTTATAAATCAATATTTGCATATGGCAAGTATGTTATATTCACCACTAAAAGTCTACTTTTTATCTCTCACCCGATAATCACCCCCTTGACCTGGTTTACCTACCCCCTTCCCTTCCGGTAACCACTGTTTTATTTTAATGACTCTTAGGGTTTGAGAGACTACTAAGATGCAGGCAGGTCCCCTGCATCCTCTTCTTGATGAGGCCTTCATGTTGGCCTGCAAAGGGGCAGGCTCTGCTTACTCTCAGCACATGTGATTTCACCCACCCTCCACACTAAGACACTTGAACAAACCCTAGCCTAGTTTCTGAGGGCTCAAAGCCATATCCCTGGAGTGACCTGAAGCCCTTAAGGTTCCTGCCTAAGCAAGTTCAATATCAAAAGAATTACATGTGTGCTTAAGCTGAGATCTGGCTATAAGCCTCTGACCTCCCCTTACCTAGAGCATTTATGTTAGAAAACTTACAGTAGTAAAATCCTTTCTGTGTCCTGTTGAAGAATATCTTCTACAACCCAGAAAGCCTTTCTTAGGGGCCTGGGAGTCATCCTTGAAGGTTAGGGGCCTGTCTCCCAGTCTCTGTGGGAGGGTAGGGGGCCTCATTTCCATAAGCTCCCATTAGCAGACACAGATGTCCTAATCACATGCATCAGCTTCCCCTGCCCTCAGTGTCTTCCAGTTATTTCCTTTAGTGTTTAGGAAGCCCTCTACTTTTGCATAAGCAGACCTGAGCTCAGTTGAGACTGAAGCCCCTCTCCCCTCCTGCAACAGCCTGCAGAAAATCTATCATGCCAACCTTAACAAATTCCAGCTCTCTCCGATAGTCCCATTTGTCCCTAGGATGCCGATTTGGCATTTGAGGAAAAGGGCACAGAGGACCAGCTCCTGCGGGCAGAGTGGTTTGTGAGGGGAGCGTTCTGCAGTGCATCCATGCTACCCATTCATTTCTTATAAGCTCATGTTACAACGCTGCATATGGGAGGAGGGTTCAGAAAAGAAACTCCAACAGCTGCTCTTACATGAACATACATTGAGTTAGATGGGGGCACTTTCTAATGTCCTCTTGTCTCTTTTTTGTCATGCAAGAGAAGGAGGGGTGACTATCACAGGCCACCTGATCAGGCCCGTACAGAGGACCACTTAGGGCTGGCACTGGGTGAATCAGATCACTTGCAGCAGTTTCTCAGTCTTCGCTCTCCTGGCATAACTGTTGTTCAGAGCTGTCCTATGCATCCAAGATGTTTGAAAAGCATCACTAGTTTCTAGCCTCTGGATTTGGGACCATTCCTCCCCCTTTGTTGTGATGATCCAGAATGTGTCTAAATACCCCACTGGGGCAACATCACTGGTCTCCAAGTAATTTTTGTACCTTCCCTGATGATGGTGTATTTCTCAAATGTGTAGGCATGTTATACATCAAGGTACCCTGGGGTTCCTTGTCAGCACTCTGGAATTTATTTTAGTTCCGAGGAAAACCACTTTTGCTTCTGAATCTTTTTATTGATGTCAACATTATTCAACTGTCCTATGTTCTTTCAAGCCTAGACCCACATTTAGAACTAATCATATGTAGAGAGGAATGTTAACTAGAAAGACAGAGAAATAGAGACAGAGATTCTGTAAATCTGTGTCTGTGTATCTATCTTGAACTCTCTATATCTAATGTCTTCCAAAGACATGGAAACAGCCAACTTTCTCCCACACAAGCTCTACAAGTACTTTATTTCCTTAATCTCTACTTATTTTCCAGCATCATATCATCAGTATTTCAGGCTTCTTTTCCTGTTCCTCCTTACTTTCTACCCAAATACATGATTTTTTCCTTGGCAGGTGTCTAGTCTTTCCAGTAGTAGGGTCCTAGTTGCAAGAGCTCTTGATGGCCCTGACTTTCATCTGTCTTGGAGTGATTCCTGCTCAGTACCCAGAGTGATCAGGAACATGTTAAAGCTCCTATTTACTTTTCCATTTTCCCTTTCATATTATCTTTTAGAAGATTATTTATTTATTTATTTAGGTGACATTATTTATTTATTTGGGTAACATTCTCTCTGTTCACATCATTGTTTGTGTTTTAGAAACCAGGGATCTCCCTGCTCCAGGCATTGTTACTACACCACGCCCACAACCAAGACACCCACAGGCCTCCACCATAGTTCACTGTTCTTCCCGGCAGGGTTTTCTTGCCTTCCCCTCCCACTTGGGTAGCTCAGTTCTGTAATTAGCTCTTTAGGGCAAGTTTGTAGTTTGGCTTTATCTGACCCTTTGTTTGGTTTCTCCTATTTTCACCCCAGTAAGTCTGAAATAAGACCTGCTGCTTTTCTCAATCACAAGAAGACATGAGCTTGTCTGTGAGAGGATTCCATTCATGCCTTTCTGACTGACAACTGCTTACTGCAACGAAATGGGTGATAAGGAATGTGATTCCAAGTAGACTCACCCATGTAGAAGTATAGGTGCTGCTTCTCATAGTCAATGTATTTGATTTTCTTCTTGCCATACTGAATGAAGAGAAAGACTTTTATAATAGACAATACTTTGGGTCATACAGTCAGAGAAAACTCTGTCTCTTCTCTCTCTGTGTTTCTCTCTGGGTCTCTCTCTGTCTCTCTGTGTGTCTCTCTTTGTGTGTGTCTCTCTCTGTCTTTCTCTCTGTAAAGTCTCTATGGAAAGATCCATGTGATCAGAGTTCATTGATTGTCAAACTTGAGACATTAAAAGAACCATTAACAGAATGGGAGGAAATAATCATGGTGTCTTTTTTCTTTAATTACATATGAGCAATTCTAGCATGAATAATTTATTCCACTTGACTCCAGGTATTGTGATCACTTTTTTATTCCCATGGAATCCACTTTGAATCTTTTTGTCCTTATGTGGAGTGGAGTGGTGACTAAAAGGAATATTACTGATGAATCTTTTGAGTTCTTCTTTAACTGTGGGTAGTGTGGTGCTTAGAAATCTGTTTGAAGTTCAGTCTCCATTTACACTCATTCGCTCAGCAGATATTTATTGAGTGGGTATGTAATAAAAGATATAAACATGACCTCTCCTGTGTTCTAGTATTCCTCCTATGTTTTGTTATCATGAATCTCATGCTGTGGTTGGCTATTTATAAGGCATGATCTTGTTTTTTGTTTGTTGTGCAACAAAGACTAGGCAGCACCTGAAAAAAATACCTACTTTGATTTTTAACAAAAGTTTGAGATTCTTCTAGAAGGAGACATCAGTCTTTTCCTAAGTATCCAACTCTCAAGAATCATCATTTTCCCTTGAGGAGAGACAAACATTCTGGGGCAACCCCTCCAGCTCTGATGTTGAAAGAACATTCCCATCTAAAAATTTGGTAATAGTCCTTTCCATGATGACTTTAAATTGAGGTTTAAAAAAAAATCAACCAGTGAAAAATTTCAGAATTAACTTTCCTCCTTCTTTCTCTGTTGTTTCAGAAGCACAGATTAGAGGAGGAGTCTATAAATGTCTGGCAAGACCGTGGGCCATGGCTCAAGTACAAGTGAATAAAATGATTGTGGACTAAAAATAACAGTGAAGTCACTTCTAATGGAGCTAAAATTAGTTGAGATAAGTAGGAATTTGATGCTTGTGACTTAGTACTTATTGAATGTACTCACCTGTCTTACAGGAATTACTGTCTCCAAGTTCTTGTTAAAGTTTGGAGTCATTGTCCCTCAGTCCTCTAGTTTCACCATCTAAGAGTAGGTTGTGTTGTCTTAGGGACCTGCCACCAGGATTGCTCAAGCACCATGATATGGATTGAACTCAGTCACCTCTAAGGTTAGAAAATCATGTAGCCCACACCTGCTTCTAGCCTTACAGCTCTAGCTTCAGTTATTGCTATTTCAGATCTATATCCTAAACTTAAAAGGAGAGATGCTCTTAGAATATGCTTGAAGCTGGAATATTCTAGCTTCATCTTTCCAAGAACTAGTTCTAGAACATTTCTCTGGTGCCCAGGATTCCCAAACATACCCTGACAGGTTGTAAATCTCCAACCAGAAACAGTGGACCCACATCAATATCCGGGTCTTTGGGGTAGATGTTAGGTTTGACATGATGTTGGAAGTGTCGATGATTCCACCAGTTTGTTGACAGGCCCTGAGGAGAAGAAAGGGCTCATTAGCTGAAAGATTTCTCTGTTGAAATATCCGTCACTGTGAGAGTTATCTACATGCATCTCCAAAGTCAAAATAAAAGATTTAAGCTTCTCAATCTTGCCCCCACTGTCAGGACACAGCATGGTCAACTGGACAGAAGATCTCAAAGTCCATGAACAAATCACCATCTCAATCAGGAGCATAAATTCAGACTGAGCCAATTTCTGACAATGAAACACTACATATTTGTTGTCTCTCAGTTACTGTTCATGTTGTGGCCCGCCCTGCAGTGGCCTCTGCTTGTTTTTATTGTGCATCTGATATCTGATCACATCAAGATGGACTGGGAGAGTATCATCACACTGGAATTTGAAGATTTAGGATAAAAAAAGGAATGTAAAATATCTTACACTTTTTATCCTGATTATACACTGAGATGATATTTGAGTGTATAAAGGGAAATTAAGTTACCTTTTTTAAAAATGTGGTTATAAAATGACTTCTGTCATTTTAATGCAGTTTGCATTCTGTTCCTGTTGCATTGTGTGGGCCTGGGTACATCTGTGGTAGAGGGTATTGCCCTCTCATTGCTGTCTTCTCTGTCAACCCCCCGACCCAATCCACCAGGAGTGGCATTCTTGTCTCACCTCTGATATGCCCTAATAACCTCACAGTGGAATTTCTCCCTCTAGTCCAGATCTCTCTACTGAATCTAATGCAATCACTTTCCAAACATATCCCTTGGCACAACTCATGGTATCTCGGCCTCAACATGTGCTTGTCAGTTTCTGTTCCCCCTGCTGGGCCCCTATTCCACTCCTCTGCACTTCTCTCAAATTGCATACCATGCATTCACTCTTATAATTATGCATTCATTCATTTATTCACCCGTTCATTATATATTTTGAAGTCGGTACCATGTGCTGGATACTTAGCTAGGCATTTAGAAGATAGACATGATAAAATGGGGTTCCCACACTTAGGAAACATATAATCTATGGGAGCAGTAAGCAATTAACAAGGACACTGATAAGTAATGATTCTCTTTTTCAACTAAATCCTCCGAAAATCAACATTTTGGCCTCTTCCACTAGCAGACTGTACCCGTTTATCCAATCACTATGGTAAAATGCGAGACAGGTTTTGATTCCTGGTAGATGCAGATTTCAACAGTTCAAGGTTCTGGAGTTTAGAACAGCAGTGGTCACAGTAATTATGGGTGTGGTCTACAGCAGCTGGCCCCTCCCTGGCACTCCAGTCTGAAAGCCACGATTATTGGTAATAAGAACTTACATGGGTATGTACAAAATCGGCTGCTCTTACACCAAGTTCTCTAGAGGAATCACCCTATGTCATTCCTCACTTCCAAGTAGGGTCCTTTCTTGGTGCAGCATAAAGAATCTAGACTTTGAATTGAGACCATTCTGAACTGAAATCCCTGCTACCAGGTGTGGGGCCTTGGGCGGTTTCCTCATTTGTAAGATGCTGAGGTTACTGGAGAGGATGGGTCATGCCCTCAAGAATGTTTCGGTATAGACTCATGGAAGCAGTAAAGGCCAGATTTTAAAGGAAGGCCTTAATTTCAAATTTTCTGCCTCTTTATCCCTATAATAACACTTGATTCTTACAGTTTTCATAATATGCTTATGGGTGTGTGAGAGAAAAATATGCTACAGGAAGTGCAGCTTGATTTTAGCATTGCACAAAAGCCCAACATGTCTGTAGGCATTTCTGCTCTTTTATTGTACAAATACTGCAAAAATCAGAACATATATATTTTTATGCAGCTAGTTAGTGAGTGAAAATTACAAAGAATCTCAATACCTGTCATTTTCCAAGGGGTGGGGCATGTTGATATGAAATCAAGTTTTGAAATTTAAAATTGTGGTTATGTTATAGTGGGAATGTTGCTATTTATATTGTAATTTTCTTTATTATGCCCTTCCCGCCCACCTTTCCTTTCCTCCCCACTGGTAATTTTCTCTCCTGCACATAGTTGAAGACTATATTTATTTTGCTCACAAATCATTGGTTTTGCCTGTAAAAAAAGGCAGCATGCACTTGATTACATTAGAGCCATTCCCCATTTGCTTATTCTGTTCACAAATTATCAAGGCTATATTCATTTCAATTACAGCAGCCCTCGCCTGTTACCTTGGTATCTCCTTTTGTTCATTCATTCATTCATTCATTCATGCCTTCATTCATTCAACAAATGCTTATTGAAGTCCTATCATATGCCAGACACTCTGCTGGGTGCTGTATTGCAGTGGTGCACAGAACCCTATGTCTGCCCTCCTGGAGCTTATTTCTGGGGGTGGGGGACAGGGGGCAACATTGCCACCTGCTTTTTCCAGAAGTCTGGGTTTTGCAACTCTTAACTCTTGAACAGAACCTCTGAGCTTCCTAGCCCACTCTTTCTCTTCACTTTATTTCTTCTGCACCTTTTCCTTTATTTCTTCATAATTGCACCTTTCAGAACTAATCAGGCTAACTGGATCCTCTGGTTTCCAGGCAATACATATTCAGACCCTTTCTAAGAATCTTCCCATCTGTGATTTTTATGGGATACTCCTTCATTTTTAAAGACCAATTCCATCTCCTGCAATGTGGTTCCTTATTGGACTGCCAGAGATTGAGTCAAATAGTTATTTGGGTAAGGGAAAATACAAAAACTTCTTAAATAAAAATAAACCTTTCCTTGTAAAAATATAAAATATATATTTTATATATATTTTGTAATATATATTTTATATATTATATGTATATTATAACATAATATTACATATAATACACATGGTAGCTACATTGCTAGTAAGTTTACATTTATTTGGGGTTTGTACCAACATTTTTACTGGCATAAGTACCAAACTTGGAAACCACTGCTGTGGGACATGGCACTGGAGAATGGCCCCTCCTCCCTGGGCATCCTGTACCTTGAGATGACACATCACAAATTTGTGCATCAGGTGGTTCCACTTGGACTTCTTAAATATTGAAAGGTGTCCAAAGTCATGCTGCAGGAAGGAACTCTGAGCCTGGGAGAGATGAAGTTGCTGTTAGAGAGGTTTGGCAGTGAAGATGAAATGAATAAGAGTCCACAGGGCGACTATCCCAAAGGAAGGTTTGGGAGCCTGTCTGAGAAGAACAGTTGTGATCTTGACAGAACTCCAGCCCAGACGACTTTGCATCCTCACCATGGTCATGTTCTTCCCCACCTCCCTGCCTTTGCACAGGCAGTTCTTGTAGACCAGAATGCTCTCCTTGCTGCTGTCAAATTCTTCAAGCATGGAGGGGAAGAGCCTGCCCTTTGGACACAGGCTGGTTCTTCTCCGCTTTTGACAAGTTACAGGTTGCTCTGAAGCTCAGTTCCTCATCTGCTAAGCGGGGAAAAAAGTGACTTCCTTGTGGAGCTGTTGTGCAATGTAATGGCAGGGAAGATGCCCAGCTTATGCTAAGTACCAAACAGATGTGTGTTATCTTTCTTGTTTCCAAAACTCACTTTTCAAGGAATATAGCACATTGTTTTTGCAAGAAAAAATGTAACTTATAACATTCTGGAATTTGGAAACAATGGTTCCTAATAGCATGAAATGCCTCTTTCTGCTCCCCAGCACCTGCTTGGCCTCTAAGCCATTCTGTCAGGTAATGTGTGTGGATATTTGAGGGACAGTTTTTCCCTCTGGATGACTCATTTCCCAAGGACAGGCACCAGATCCATTTCCCTTCAAGACCACATAGAAGGTCCTTCTTGGCTCAACAAAGAATTATCAGATGACTCTCCAACCGGCAGAGAGGAGGAAACAACAAACCAAAACGGCCCACAAGAACAAACGACGCAGCAAGCGGGACTGTGAGTGGAAAGGAACTATTGCAGCCACCACACCCCATGAACGGGAGCTGAGGCGAACCCTGCAGGATCCGCCACCGCGGTGAGCGAATGGCTCCTGGCGCCATTAGAGAAGAACAAAGACCCCGGGAGACGCACACACAGCCCGGGCTGCCGGTAAGCTGGCGCGGGAAAGCGGCTCGCTCGGCGCGCTTGAAAAGCAAGTGCAGACCTGGATCGCGGCTGCCCAGGTCCCCGCGCCTGCGACCTAGGCTTGCGGGGAGACGACCTAGGCTTGCGGGGAGACACACGGAGGTCCTCACTGAGGTGAAGGTCCCTCCCTGAGTGAGCAGGAACCAGGCGCCCAGGCACGGGAGCTGTGCAAAAGGCGCCATTCCCGCGCCACTGAACTGGGCTACAGCCCGCGTCCTGGAACTGAGGGCTTTGAACTGAGACCCGGGGCACGAAAATTCGGGGCGTGGTTTCTCCACGACGGTGGGGCACAAGGCAGACACAGCACCACAAAGCTGTTGAGGTGTACCCTACCATTCCCGCTCTGTTCTCTGTCCCACGGGGTGGGGGGAGGCGAAAAACAGCCCCCCAAGGACAATAGGAGAGATCTCTGGCGCCACCTAGCGACCAGGAAAAAAAAAGTCACTAACACCCTATAAAACAGGACATTTCTTAAGACTGCTTGAAAAGGGCAGAAGGTTTCTGGAGGACCCAGTGGCCAGCCGGGAAGTTATTCCACGCCAGGCCCCTTCCGACCAGCAGTCTGAGCCCACAGAGGGAGCAGGCACCCACGTCCGGGGCAGACCGGGTGCGCAGAAGAGTGTGCCTGAAACCGGAGGCGCAGGGACTGCATCCCGCTTCGCCATTTGAGAACAGGGACATTTCTTCAGTAAAAACTGCCTAAAACCAGCAGAAAGCTCCCCCAGAAGACAGAGATGGCTCCTGGAAGAGCCAGAGGGGAGCGGAGAAGTTCACCCAAGATGTCAGTCAGTCCGAGCAACACAGTGTCCCAACGCATACGACAAATTAGAAAACAGACAGTAGGGAGTAGAAGAACCACACGCAACCTAAAAACTCCTCAGGAAAGAAGCACACCACAAAAAAAAAACCACTCCCCAGATTGCAACGACAGCAACTTGGAAGAACTTCTGAGCCTTCCAGAAAGAGAATTTAAAATTGCCATGATTAAAAAAGTGATAGATCAGAAGAAGGAAATTGAGTCCCTAAAGAGGGAAGTAAGAGAAATGCAGGAGATCAAAGAATTAATGGAGGAACTAAAGAACTCTGGGAAAAGCAATGAAAGCAGAATAGATGAAATGGAAGAACGAATAAGTAATCTTGAAGACACAGAAATAAAAAGAACCAAAACAGAAAAGGAAAGAGAAGTACGAAGGAAAAAGAATGAAGAAAGACTTCGGGAACTATCTGACTCCATGAGGAAAGGAATATAAGAGTTATAGGAATTCCAGAAGGAGAGGAGAGAGATGTAGGAACAGAGAAAATATTCATGGATATAATTGAAGAGAACTTCCCAAATGAGAAGAAGGAGCTGAAAATTGATATACAAGAAGCAAGAAGAACACCAATCTTCCACGACGAAAGGAAAAACACAGCAAGACACATAATAGTAAAGCTCCCAAGAATCCAGGACAAGGAAAAAATAATGAAGCTGACAAGAGGGAAGAAACAGATAACATTCAAAGGAAAACCAATCAGGCTGACATCAGACTTCTCTGAAGAAACACTACGGGCAAGGAGAGAGTGGAGGGACATAGTCAACAGACTCCAAGAAAACAGATGCCAACCAAGAATACTCTATCCCGCAAAGCTCTCTTTCCTCCATGAAGAAAGAATATGGACCTTCCCAGACAAAGAGAAACTCCGGAATTTCATTGCGACTAAACCCCACTCCAAAAAATACTACAAGGAATCCTAAAGCCAGAACCTCAGAGGGATGAATAACAACGAAAGAAGACCAAAAAAAAAAAAAAAGTTATTAAAGAATAAATAAATAAAATCAAAGGAAAGACAAACATAATGGCAAATGCAGATGCTAACATATCAATATTAACTCTAAATGTAAATGGACTAAACTCTTCAATAAAAAGACACAGAGTTGCAGCCTGGATTAAGAAACAAAACCCAACCTTTTGCTGTCTCCAGGAAACACATTTAGCTACAAAAGATAAAAATAGGCTCAAAGTCAAAGGATGGAAAACAATCCTACAAGCAAATGGGCCAAAAAAGAAAGCAGGAACACCTATACTTATATCAGATAAAACAGACTTCAAACTCAAAAAATAAAAAAGAGACCCCAATGGTCACTACATTATGATTAAGGGGACAATACTTCAAGAAGAAATAACACTCATTAACATATACTCACCAAACGAAAGAGCACCAAAATATATCAGACAACTGTTGTCCTCTCTGAAAACAGACATCAGAGAAAACACATATGTAGTGGGAGACTTCAACACACCACTATCAACAATGGATAGATCAACAAGACAAAAAATAAGTAAAGAAACTAAAGCTCTAAATAAGGACCTAGAGCATTTGGGCTTAACAGACATCTATAGAACACTAAACCCAAAAAAAAACGGAGTACACATTTTTCTCAAGCGCACACGGATCATTCTCCAGGATCGATCACATACTGGGGCACAAGACAAACATCAACAGATACACCAAGATTGAAATCATACCAACCATCTTTTCTGACCACGAAGGCATCAAACTAGAAATAAATCATAAAAAGAAGGCAAGGAACTATCCTACCTCATGGAGATTAAAAGCCACACTACTGGAAGACCACTGGACTAACGAGGAGATCAAAGAAGAAATTAAAAATTCTTTGAATTGAATGACAAGGAGGACACCAATATCCTAAATGTATGGGATGCAGCAAAAGCAGTAATAAGAGGAAAATATATAGCAATAGAAGCTCACATCAAAAAACAAGAAAGAACTCAAAGAAACAACCTAATCTCGAAGCTCAAAGATCTAGAAAAAAGAACAACAAAAAAACCCCAGAACCAGTAGAAGAAAAGAAATAATAAAACCAAAGCAGAAATAAATGAAATTGAAACTAAAAAACAATCCAAAAGATCAATGAAACCAAGAGCTGGTTCTTTGAAAAAATAAATAAAATAGACAAACCCCTAGCCAGGCTCACAAAGGAAAAAAGGGAGAAAGCACAAATACACAGAATCATAAATGAAAGAGGAGAAATCACAACGGACACAGCAGAAATCAAAAGAATAATCAGTAACTACTATGAACAGTTATATGGAAACAAGTTCAACAATCTAGAGGAGATGGACAAATTCCTACAACTCTACAATCACCCAAAGCTAGATAAAGAAGAAATAGAACACCTAAACAGACCAATTACAAGCAGCGAAATTGAAATGGTAATTAAAAACCTCCCCAAAAACAAAAGCCAGGACCTTATGGATTTACAAATGAATTCTACCAACATTCAGAGACGAATTAGTGCCTATCCTTCACAAACTCTTCCAAAAATTGAGAAGGAAGGGACAATACCAAACACGTTCTATGAAGCCAATATTACACTAATACCAAAACCGAATAGGACAACACAAAAAAGGAAAACTATAGGCCAATCTCCCTAATGAACACTGATGCAAAAATCCTCAATAAAATTTTAGCTATCAGAATCCAACAATGTATCCATAAGATAATTCACCACGACCAAGTTGGATTCATTCCAGGGGCACAAGGATGGTTTAACATCCGAAAATCAATCAACGTTATCCAACACATCAACAAAAAGAAATATAAAAACCATATGATAATATCAATAGATGCTGAGAAAGCTTTCGACAAAGTGCAACACCCATTCATGATAAAAGCCCTTGAAATTCTTGGATACAAGGAACATACCTCAACATCATAAAGGCCATCTATGACAAGCCAACAGCCAGTATCATTCTCAATGGTGAAAAGCTGAAAGCAATTCCATTAAGATCTGGAACAAGACAAGGATGTCCACTCTCACCACTGCTTTTCAATATAATACTGGAAGTCCTAGCCAGAGCAATAAGACAAGAGAAAGACATCCAAGGAATCCAAATAGGAAAAGAAGAAGTCAAACTATCACTATTTGCAGATGATATATATATACATAGAGAACCCACAAATCTCCACAGAAAAACTAATTCAACTCATCAATCAATTCAGTAAAGTGGCAGGATACAAAATCAACACGCAAAAGTCAGTAGCCTTCCTATACACAAACAATAAATCTGAAGAAGAAGAAATCAAAAAAACCACCCCTTTTATTATCGAAACAAAAAAATCAAATATTTGGGAATAAATCTAACAAAAGAGGTAAGGACCTATACAAAGAAAACTATAAAACACTGTTAAAAGAAATAGAAGAAGACACAAAGAAATGGAAAGACATCCCCTGCTCATGGATTG